ATGGTATTACACCAAGCCGATAGCGCGTGGCATCAAGACTATCAACATCCAATCGTGATTCTTTTGTTGATGCAGGCGGCCCGTTGTTTGGTGGTATCATGTACCAGTTCTTCGACAAGAGCGTGCCGTTCCTTATCCTAGCAGGCATCGCATTGCTGGAGGGCTGTAAGTACTTTCTTTTCTTTCTTTCTGGTGTTTTTATGCCCCTGACACACATAGCCACATAGCCAGAACACTGCTGAACCCCCCCCCCCCAAACCCATGGTTGGGAATAGGTCGGGAGGTAATTCGTCTGTGTTTGGTTGGTGTTCGGTGAGGTTGGCTACTGCTTCCATTTGACTTAATACATATATAATGTTCTTGTGCTATTTCGCAAATGTACTTCCACTATCCTACATTATTACATACTTTCTTCATATACTCCCACAGGCTTGCAGTTGTTAGTACTTCGACCAGGAGCAAAGAAAGAGGTAAGTAAGGTTGGCGGTTACTCTGGTTTTGTATCAAGTTGTAATTTGTGTAACCTTATTTGATACTTTTGTTGTAATTTGGACTAAGTTGATTTTTATGTTAATGGCTTAAAAATAGATGTATAAAATCTGTTTAGGGTTTTCCCCAAGAATCATTCAAAACGCCCTCAGGCAATATGTATTTTCTGGCTAAAAAATAAAACAAACAAACAAATCAGTGAAATATCCGCAAATTTTAAGTTTTATCAACACTCTTAGTCATTAGCGTAAAGATGAAGATTTTTGTAAGAAAATTATTTTTTCCGGAATAAACAAGAAGCTTAAGATAAATATTTCAATATGGGCATTTTTTTTTAGTTTAACACCTGTTTTCTTAAAGAGGAAACATTTTTGTATTAAAAAAATCTTTTCCAGACTAAACAAAAAGGTAAAGATAAATATTACAAAATTGGTATTTATTTTAGTTCCACACCTGTTTTGTGCATTTTGTCACGTATTTCTGCTTACCACGGAGTTTTAAGTACCGACGAAGAAGCCGTCCCGGAAGTTTGATGATTACATTTCGTGCATACTTCCATCAAGCGATGACCCCCGAAACTTGATAACAATGATATACAATCTCACAACGTCCCGGCGTTAATCCAATTTGTAAAAACCCATTTGCCAGAATTACTAAAGACGGCGGCCCCCGTGGCCGATAATTAAGATTAAGTAAAAAGGATTCGCTGGTGGGCTTCCCAACCTCATCTCGTGTTATCAATCAGGGGGCTTTTTATCCTATTTGGGGCATAATTATTGATGGTATATCATAAAAGGGGAAATTGTGCCCGCTTTTCGTCTCCTCTAGTAGGAGCTTTTACATGCTTTATTGTGGAGGGTGCCACATATAATTTGGGGTTGAGGAAGGCGGATTTAGATGATAGCTTTGATGACGCAAATGCGCGGAAGGATTCTAAAACTATTCACTACCCTAGTTACAACATCAGTGGTGGGATGAATCGTCAATGGACAACGCGTTCTGTTCTACTCATGCCTTCAAATATCAGAGTTATCAACCAAGAATTGAGGTGTTCAAAAACTCGTTTATCCCAAGAACTTTCGTAGACTGGAACTCGTTGCCACCAAGCACAGTTGGGGCATCATCACTTTATGATGCCCCAACTGTGCTTTAAAGGAGCTTTAAGGAGCTTTAAACAACTCCTGCAACTAAAAGTGCAAGGATTGAACGTAACAAGTCGTTCGGTGTGATATACTATAGCTAGCTGCCGCCGCGCCGCGTGCCTGTGAAGCTGGTGTGTTACGCCAAAGGGCGGTTATACCGGCTATACTGATACAGATACAGTTACTAGACATGAATAATGGACAGTCGGCCACGGCACAGTGCAGCAGTTTTGAAGTTTTGAATCTTAGGCCCGTTTTTAATTGGGGTATAACTAAAAAAAAACTAAAGAAAAGAGTTCTAACTATTTTCTTTTTTGTAACTTTTTCAACGTTACAGAAACTTAGACAGAGAAAAGAAGACCAGAAAAAGCCATGTTGATTTGATTCTATGACATCCTCTGGGAACCCCAAAACTGATGCAAGCGTGCTAGAAGAACGTTTGCCTCCATTATAAAATCTACGTAATCATGGATGTTGAACAAGTGAAATGATTAAATACACAGAGTTTCTTTTTGTCTTTGGAGTTGATTTTGGCAGTCTACTGTTTTAGTATCGTTTGCCTTTTTTTTGTTGTTGTTTACGGCATATATTTGCTGATTCTTTGCAGCTGCTTTTTTTACGATTTACAGTATGGCCAAAAACATTTTCTTTTGAAACGGACGAAAGGTCATGCATTCGCGGACGTCATCCATATAATCAAATCAACATGGCCTTACATTGCAACTTCCAGAGGTCAAGAGAATGTCAATTACATCTAAGTACCAAGTCATGCATAATTGTAATTGGACTGTGGATTCCGTATAGCTCTTTTCTATTACTTGTCAGGATCGATTACAGAATGAGATTTGGTGGATACATAATCAAGGGGAGTCCGAGTTATTTTTTGAACGTGTACCGACTTTTGGACACTCTCTATAAAGAGAAAAAGAAGAGGCTAAGGAAAACAGAAAATATTATTCCTCAACTTTTATTATTAATACTATTATCATTATTATCATTAAATTCTAACAAAAGATTAACAACAAGTCTTTGACGTCCAATGTCTGTTATCCCTGTCAACAGAGTGGCAACATTTGAGGTACCCCTTAGAAAAGACGTAAACCCCTTATTACTCAGCTTTGCTGCCGAAAATGATAGAACAGCAGTAAGTTTGAAACAAGGTGCCATTTTCAACGCTGTAACCCGCCCAGAGTTCCTAACAGTACATACTCACTATCGTTCCTCCAGATCCTGATGGAAGGAGCTCCATTGGGCGTGCTGCTCAGGGATCCGTACATTGTCATTGCAGCTGGTAAGAACGTTTATTTATCTATTTATTAAAACATCCACCACATACGTGGAGTGGGAGGGAGAACAGGTTAAGCACCTTTTTCAGCTCTTGCCCCAAATGTACATTAGTAAAAAAAACATTGAAGTCATCATTGGGTTAGCGTAAAACATTCTAATACATAGTACACATAGTGATACAGTAGCGTGGACCTGTCACTTGAAACTAAACATGAAGCACATCTGCAAGCCGAAGACCGTGTACAAAGAATGTATGTATCAACGTTGAACGTTGGCTTGAAAAACAATACAACCTCAAATTATATGATGTGATGTGATACAGAGATAGTATACTAAAAACCCTTGTCACACATAGCCGAATATGGCCTCTCGAACACTACACATGATTAAGAGGGTTTTAGCTAAGTCAGCTGGTAGTTGACAAGGTCTGACCAGTTAGTCTTATGATCAGTATTCTCACATGTGAGAATACTACAGCGGTTAAAGAAATATTTGGTTGGTCAACTCTTCTTGCTGCAGTACATGTAAAAAAACTTCTTCGACAAGTTGTCAACAACTTATGATTGAAACCATATGCAAGTGAGGAATTAACAGTAGTCATATTGTTGATAGCCATATTCATTTTACTTACGTGAAAAGTACTTGGAGAGCAAAGATTACGTTATCTGTATCTCATACGTATACCAGACGACAGTGTCACTGGTAAAGGCACGTTAATCGTCTTATACGCGTTCTCAATTGATTATCACCGATCTCCAACGGCAGATACTCATAGTATAAGGTTGACAACAAGCAATATGCTAGGCCCATAGTCTTGATTGATGTTTACTATCTACATGTATGTATCTTTCTTAACGTTGGTGTTGCGTTGAAATTCAGGGTCAATATGTTTTGCCAACATGGCGATCGCCTTGCTGGAGCCTACCCTCCCTATCTGGATGATGGACACACTAGATGCTCCCAGCTGGCAAATCGGTAAGACTCGCAGTTTTTATGGGTCTTGCTTCCCGGTGACTGATGTACTTTACCTGCCAGTTATCCAGCTTTACAGTTAGCACCTGTTTAGCAAAGATAACGAGAGAATTTCTGAGGAGGCGTCTTATCGCCTTAAGAACAATTGACGCCCAGCAGTCTTATCTTGGCTCCTTAAGAAGGTAAATGTGTACAATTTTCTTAAAGTATGCCAGCTCTGGCTGAGCGGATTTTCCTAAAAGTACCACTCGTGAGGAAGAATTATGAGGTTTTAATTAGCAAAATATTGATATAGATTTATTCTTTAGCAACATTTTTGCTTGTTAAGAATTTTTACTTGTTACGCATTTGTAAACATTACGCATTTCTTAAATATTTAGATTCTCTTTATCCTTTTTACCGTATTGCAATTTTTTCATACATATATTTTATACATTTTCAATATGGATTTTATTTGGGGATGTTCAGTGTATATTCGTGTATTGTGTAGACATTTTTCTGTATGCTTTCTGTTTTTTATTTCATGCATTTTATAACATTGAACTTTGGCAGATAACAATGTTGTGCATTTTGGCCTGACTATTTAGTGCTGACATAATTCATTACGACCTACCTTCTATCTTCTACCGACAGGGTCCATTTGGCTGCCGTCTAGCATTGCGTACCTTGTTGGAGCGTACATGTTTGGCTTCATTGCAACCAAACTTGGAAGGTAATGATATCGTAATGTATCCACATGTCAACGGCATTTAAAGCAGTATGATGTAACATTAGGAACTAGGAGGGTACGAAAGTAGGCTTTCTGGTCATTTCTGTACAAAGTAAGTTGAATGATCAATCATACTTCGTTGCAAATAAGAGTAATTTAGGAAGTAGAGGTTCCAAAATGTTACACCATACTAGTGGGTTTAAAATCCGAAAGTACGGATGGCAGCCATGTCCATTTACATACTGGTAGTTTGTAGTGGTGCCACAAAATAAGTGCACGTCGTGTGGACTATTTTATCACGAATGTTAGAATATGACATAATTGCAAAAACATGACGTGTTGAAATATGGAAGTAAATGATAATCATTCGAATATGTTTTTAATTAAAACTTTTGTTTAAAATTGTTACATAATACCCCTTCAAGGACACCTTTTCAAGGCCGACAAAATAAACAAGTGCGCAGAAGACACTGGCTGTGGATATCATAAAATACCTGATAAGAAATCAAATTATCACAATGATTTGCGTTTTGGTAGACATTGACACATTGCTTCACAGTCTGTAACTACGTGGTAACTCATGCCCGTAGCCAAGGGGGGTTCGGGGGGTTCGGAAGAATTTACAAGGCTCAAAGGTCCACTTTTTGGTTCACTTTTTATGTAAAGGTCCAAGATTTTTCTTGAAAAGATGGACTGGAATCGTAGAAAAACTGCTCCCTTTGGCATTGAATAAAAATTTATCTCTGATTTTTTTTCTTGGAAATCCTCTCAAAATGCACGAAATTCCATTTTAGAAGGTTCATTTTTCAAAATTTTCTGGGGGAGCATGCCCCCGGACCCCCCTAGGAACCTCGCGTCTTCGGCGCTCGCCTCGCGCCTACGGCGCTCGAGGTCCCCTCAAGCAGTGGGAAGAACCCCCCTATTCAAAATCCTGGCTACGGGCATGTAACTACACCCTGAGATTGAACTTCTTCTCCCTGTTTCCGGGAAAGGCCCATCACCAGTTGCCCACCCCTCACACATCCGTAATTCCGGCGCCGTAACGCCAGCGGCAACCCTCTTCTTTAGATTTACGATTGGACAAGGATCCCTTACAGAAGCGTATCTCCTAGAAGCATTCCTACCCAATACCTGGTATCTTGTCTTCAAAGCTTTGCAAAACGACATCTTCTGAGGAGAAGCTCCTCTGCTTGTCACAGATAGCGAAGGATTGTTGGCAATTTAACCCGTGCTGTGTATCAAAGTTGGAAAACTTTTTTGGACGGTATGTCATTTTGCAGATGGCTGTGCGGACTGCTTGCCATGATCTTCGTCGGGGCTTCCATGATTTGGGTTAGTTATATTCCTATTATTCCTTTTTTTAGTGTAAGAAAAAACATGTTGATTTCGTACTTACGTACCCTGGATGCCAGCCATTTTAGCTTTAGTCGAATATTCGTCATATTCCTGTAGTAATACTAGTAATCTTAGAATAGACTTGATTGTATTGTTCACATTGTCATCGATGCCATACATTGTACCGTGTACAACTGTTGAGCAATAAAGTTTATTCATTCATTCATCCATTCATTCATTCATTCAGAAGGATGACTGCTGAGACTAACAGTTAACCGATGTCGACCTTTTATTGGAAACTCTTCATCAGAAATGATAGAAAGATGTGACGCACTTCCATTTATACTCTTCTATATACAGTCAGATCCCCGAAGACACCACGAAGAAACGCCAGTTTAGCTTTAAGTAAACCTCGTTCGTCCGGTTGCTTCCCTGCCAAACGCAACAAATTATCTATCTGTCAATTGAATATTTGAACAAAATTGAAAGGGGTAAATTAGAAACCTTACCTCATAACATAATCCTTAAAGGGATAGAATGTATATGCTGGTCCAGCTTTATATTGACAGGAAGGCCACAGAGAGAACGCACTGAAGCTACAAGGGCTGGAACCTAAGATAGGCTTGCTGAGAACATCGAGTTTCGTTGTATATTTTGGATGTTTTTTTCCTGATATTTGCTTCTTGTTGCCAACAGATGCCTTGTGCCAGAAGCTTCCATGGACTCATCCCTCCAAACGCTGTGCTCGGTCTGGCCATCGGTGTGTAGTAGTGTTTGTTTGTTTTATTCGTCTTCGCACATACAATAATAACAATGAAGTAAATAGAAATAAATTTTTAAAAGTGCAGGACCTTCTCCTGCATCAATGTCAGAAATGTGAGATAATTGCACAAATAGTTTAAAAAGTAGAATCAAATTACAATCACACGAATATGTTTTTATTTGGGTGAAAATATTATATAATGCCCCTTTGAAATTAAGACATGTCGTTAACAATGATAACGACGAGTACTATATGCAAGTATTTGTAGTAAAAGTAAACCATGTCTGCTCTTCCTCTCCAGGAGTGGTGGACTCGTCTTTGATGCCGATCATGGGGTATCTAGTGGACAGAAGGTGCAGTGGTGTCTTGTCTTTTTACATTTCTACTTTTCGTCAAATAAGAAAAGAAATAAATGAAATAAGAATCAACTTTCCCGATTTTAGAAGAGAATTTGCATTCCATCTAGGGACGAAGAAGAAAAAAATTATTAATATTTTAATATTAAGGTTGGTCTATCCACTAAGCTCCCGTGAAGCATTCCATCGAGTTCATTGTAAAATGAACATGAAAATTCAATATCACAGAAAATGTAGTCTATTACGTTTTTACGATAATGGCATGAATGTGAGTATATCTTTGAGTTCAATTATGAAGAACAAATAAAAGTAGCCGCAGTTCAAGATAACTCATTCACCTTCAAGATAAAAGATGATTCACATAAAAAACAGCATGCAATATACTTTCGCAGTGTACATATATATGTCTTAATATAAATCGCTCATGGTCTCATTCATGTATTACTCCGAGTGTACCCAAAAGAGTACCAAATCAAAAACTAAACGGCTGTATGAGCGTGTGTTTTATTGGTGAGAATTTTCCCTTTAGCCAGCCCAACTGATGTAAAACGTCAAAGTGGTGAAAGCTTGTTTGTAACTGATGAAATTAGGACGTAATTGTCGGCAGTCGCGCGCTAGGTCGGACGTGCACAGTCCAGTGTTGTGAGTTGTGCGGTCGTAGGTTTGCAGCGAGGGGGGCCTCTTGCGGGCAGCCGCTAGGTGCAGTTTGTAATTCCCATAAAAAAGGATTGTGTGTATAAAAGTCGTCGGCAATTTCTTGATGAGATGTAGAGTAAGTGTGCTTAACATAGCATAAAAGATATAAATTGATTCAATGTAGAATCATAGGAAACACGGTCTCGTAAGGCACTCATTAATGCATGGTTCCTAATGTATCGAAAAAACTAAAACTCATGAATGAGACCTTATGACATCAAAACATGTACAGTATTGTCGTTTCCACATTGACATGTTAACAAAAGACTTTATTCCATCGTCCAGGCACGTATCAGTGTACGGAAGTGTCTACGCTATCGCCGATGTCGCCAACTGTGTCGGATTTGCTATTGGTAAGAAAATATACATTATTACTGAATACATACTGAGATTTACTAGTTTGTGGAAAGATTGACATAACGGGTGACTATCAAGATGTAACCCCTGAGACCAGACTGTGAGGTTTGAGCTATTCACACTGGGAATGACCCCTAGCCCTGCTATTCTAATGAAATCTTCAGGTGTGACTGTCCTCAAACACTGGGCATTTATTTTTACGATCCATCCGAGAGGACGCCGTGAACCAAAGCCAGGTAGTCAATATACATGTCATTTTTACATGGGTTTAGTAAGAAATAGAATAGATGCAACGTGTCTGTCCCAAGGGCACAATACTGTGGAATTCGAATCCAAAACTTGAAGTATTGTGTGCAGTCTGCAAGAATTCTAGGAATTGTACAGGGATGTGTTTCCAGGGGTGTGTATGTCGTTATGCTGAGGTCACATTTCCAAACCGGGACCCGGCCGGGCAGTCTTATGGAACGAAAAGTACGATAGAAAGACAAGCAAACGCAGAAAAGTTTTCGATAATAATCACGGGCACTATTTCTATACTTCATATGAATTGTTAGTTTTTCGTTCATACGAACAACCCCCCCGGGCCCCGGTTTGGACATGAGACCTAGGCATTAAGGACGATTTAACAACTACATTCTAACCAAAATACATGCACCAATTTGCCCAATCAATATGTAGAATTGTCCAAAATGATTTCTATCAGTATTTGCTCTATTGAATACATTCTGCAAACACAAAATGTAACTCATATTTTCCTTCTTATACTTCAAAAGGACCTGCCGTGGGTGGAGAAGTTGTCGTCAAATACGGATTTGGTTGGTGAGTAGGCAAGGAAACTAGTTTGTGTCCTGTACATTTGGTTACGTTTGGTCATGTTTTGGTAGCCTCCAGTGCAGGCATTCGGAACGGGTGAAAGATTTGATACTGCGTTTTGTAGAATTTTTAACGCGTTCTTTTGCCCGCCATCCTATAACCCGTGGCGGATACGAAATTAAACCTTCTCTGTGTGGCTGGTTGTAGGATGGTCGGAAAAAGAACGCGTTGAAAATTCTAGAAAACGCAGTACTAAAACTGCCACTCGCCCGGAGGTTTGCACGTACAGGAGGCTAATATTTTGGATTTTTTTAATGTTGTGGTGTCCTGGTACAGATTCCGATCCCTTGACAGAGACTCCAATTCATCTCTCCAGATAAAATCTGCGGTACAATTTCAACACCCTAGACGTACAGCATTAAAATATATTTAGGTTTTATGGGAAGCACAGGTTATTTAAATGGCTTCAATAACTACCAGTATTGAATATTTAACTTTAAGGACATGTTGGGCAATGTTACGTTATAACAATAAAACTCATCCTCTCTGTCTGTAGAATCAGTAATTCTGACAGATCATAGTCTGTACCCTGACACATTCTTCATACACGTTTAACTTTAGGATGGGTAATCATAATTAAAAGTACAGATTGTTTCTTATAATGCTTTTTTCTTTTATTTAGGCTGATGTGGGGTATTGGGATCATCAACATCCTGTACTCTCCTCTGTGTATCTTCTTGAGAGAACCACCAGGAAAGGAGGAGAAAGAGGTACCTAAACCAAGTTAATAGGGAAACACTATTATTACTTTGGTTATCCAATGATTGATAAGCAATTATGCTGAATGTATGTTTCTAATCCTAGTGTCGATGATATCCATCTATTTAGCTATTAATAATAATCACCAGAAACCCAACTGCTGTAATTGACGAGAAATTTAGTTGCAATGTATGTTCCCAATTTCAATGTTTTTGATACCCATCCATTTACTCATTCATGATAATCACCGAAACCCCCACTGTTTTCAAGAGCAGTAAGTGCTGTAACTAATAAGCAGTCCAGTAGCAATGTATGTTTCTAATTCCAATGTATTAATAACCATAAATCTATTTATCCATCATGATTATCAGAACCCCCAGTGTTATCACCCCCTACCGCATGCTAACGTAACAATTACTTTCGCGCTCCCAAATGTGTAATTAATGATCAGATAAATATCTTAATTTTTTTACTCCATACAAAATGCAGATTATTTTATAGACAGCGTTTGCGCGTGTGTGTGTGTGTGTGTGTGTGTGTGTGTGTGTGTGTGTGTGTGTGTGTGTGTGTGTGTGTGTGTGTGTGTGTGTGTGTGTGTGTGTGTGTGTGTGTGTCTGCTAGTCACCCAGATAACTCAAGATCGGCTAGATGGATTAGGACTAACAATTATACGGCCTTACATTTGGTGTTTTGGGACGATGATTGTAACAATAAATGATTTTGGCACCCCTAGCGACTTTTCTGTGTACTGCAGCCGCACTTTCGGGGTTCAGATTCTATTTCGATTGCATTTCTCTTTCCTCAGGCTATCCTGGCACAGGACGAGTGCCAAGTGACGTACAACGCTTTCCATCAACAACCGGACGCCGAAAAACAACCTGAAGATTACGAGGAGGACGAGATGATGAAAAAGCAGAAGCTAACCATCGAGTAAAACCGGGGAAGAGCCGCTCAGGCCCAAGGGTCCATAGAATGAACCCCAAACGCCTCGCCCTTATGTGTGCATTTCTATGAACAAAGAAAAAGAGTTTATTTATGCATATACTGGAGTCTTTTACTTGGCAGGGGATTTCGTAAAACACCGCACTGAGGAAGGTAAGTTCATACTAAAGACCACATAACAAAGGGCGAGGCACAGCACTCAACCCCCTGAATAACAAACCTTCTCTTCAATACAAACAAAATGCTGAAGACAAACCGTTCATCGTTATTAGAAGTCAACTGCCAACTGGTATAACAGTTGTGACTTATCCATTCATAACATCATTTCACCATTCTAACCCGATTGGTCCATCTCTCTAACATCACATTCATGGCATGGTGAATCCATCGCATCACATCCATCGCATGGTTCAGACTCTGTGTGTGCGTTGATCGTATTTGGGTGCCTTTGGCGTCTTGTTGAAGATTTTGACTCGTGGATGTACCTTATAACAACCAACCTGTATTTCTAAAATTCGAAAAATTTGTGAATGTGATTTTGATCATGAAGTACACGTCAATTTGGTTGACTTTGGAGAAAAAACGAAAACGACAAATAGCAGAAGAAAACCTAAGAAAAGTATTCGTGTTGAAAAAAATCTTATAATAACTGCAGTTTATTACATAACCTCTGTCTAAGACTCATATTTAGTAGTAGGTCATTGTGGCACTTGGTAAGTGCGGATACAAAGAAATTGGTGGCGCTGGATTTTAATTCGTAAGAATGAAAATAGAGACTAATTGTCGGCTACGAAAACTAGCGAGGGCCTCAGAAGCGGTGAAGTTCGCACCTGGCTTACTTCAGGACAGAATGGATGGAGTACTCAAGTTAGATAGCTCCACGGCCACGTCGGCCATTTTGGTTTTCTTCAGTAGTTCATTTGGAACGAGGTGCGCAAGCGCGAAACGAAAAGCATGCCGGGAATGATGTGCCATAGGAAAGGACATGAGCCCACCAGCAATAATGATTTGTCATGTTATCGCTACGTCATTTTGTCACACTTCATGTTACCATTAGTACATTTAATCCTTACTATACGGACATGGAACTTAAGGTGTTCACCAGGTCATACTTGGTGTATGCATTTGTATTCCATTTTAAAACATAAATACTGACTCACTTCATCGTTCGCTAGTACATGAGACGATTAACAAACATACAGTCAAATTGCAACATCGTTGTGTATGGTGCTCGTTGCTTAGCAACGACAGCAGTCTGTTCTACCGCCATCGACCAATGGTGTACTCGATGGATATCTCACGACAAAAAAGGAACTAACACAAAATTATTTTCAATGTATAGAGATCCACTAAAACATGTTTTGTTCTTTCACGAGAACAATTAGATCAAGAATCTCTTTTAGAGTTGTAAAAATACATTGGATAAAACTATTGTTTCGGGGAACAGAGCACAATGACATGTTTGCATGGACTGATGTTACACGAAGATACTGTACAAAGATAACTATTTTTGTGTATAATATAAATGTCACATGGAAAGAATTGTCAAAATGATGTAATATGTTTTTCCTGTTTTTTGAAATGAATACTTGGCACTGCCATCAGCAGTTATGTGATATGTGGAGAGATTTCTCCCTTAGAGGGATATATAGAAACATTTAGAAGCGTACAGTATATTTGGTTGGACTACTTGGATATGTGGCAATGATGTAAATGGTTGTTATAAGTACTGTTGCCCGGATCTTGTTCTTATACTGGATTTGCACTACGTAGCGTGCATTATGGGTAAAGTGGTGCATTATGGGAATGTGGTGCGTGTTTCTTTATAGACGTTATAAATGTGATTTTAAAAAGGAGACATCCTGAATACAAACATGATATAAAGGAACACTTGGTGAGATGAAACCGGAATGATATTGTACTAGTCTAGAATTCTCACTGTAAAAATCAAGCCAATAAAAAACGTTCTGTCTGAGAATCATGCTTCTGTGTGACACATGTGACAATTTGCTTTGTATTATACTTTTAACTTGTGAGGATTTTTATTTAGAAACTGATTTACAAATCAAGAATGATATGCCAGTAACGCATGCCCGTAGCCAGGAGGGTTGTTTGGGGGGGGGGGGGTCGGGGACGGAATCCCCCCCAGAAGGCTCAAAGGTCCACCTTTTTGTGTACTTTTTTATCTATAGATCCAAGATTTTCTTTATAAAAGATCGACTGATAACTTCGTCATTCAATAAAAAGTTATCTCCGATTTT